TTCAAAACTTCCATTTCTTCTTCTGCTGCCACTTCTACCTAACTTGGGACAACACTCATCTTAGAAAATTTACCATCATCTCCTGCAATTACCGTATGTTGTGCAATATCTTTTCTTCTCCATACTGGACAAGGCAGTCAAGTTACCCTTCCTAAGATTAAAGCATTTGCAATATAAGACCAGGGATGCTCCTAAAGTTGCAGTTGTGGCAGACCAGCAGGGGGCACTCCTGCACTAAGTCACCCACCTCACTGTGCCCGACCACCTACCAAGCTCTAAGTGCCTCCCCAGGGGCACCTCACATCTGGCCAACCCCCTTCCTGGAGCACACCCACAAGCCTGGGGTTACTTCTGCCACCACCCAGGGGTCTCAATGGTTTTCAGGATCTGTGCCCCCTGGGGTATACAGGCCTTGCAGTCCTTGAGGGTGCTTGACTCACTGTGAGAATGTGGGGTGCTTGCTTTAGCCTGAAGCACAAAAAGTAGCCTCCCTTGGTCATGTGAGCCAAGGGAATAAAAGAGGAATGCCCAAATCCTCTCTCAGCAAGTCCACCACACTTGGTACAGCAGATAACTTTATTGGTACAGAGGGTTGACCTGAGGAAGGGTACAGGATAGGGAAGTAACAAATAATAATCTTAGAGCAAACAGTGGCTAGGTAGCCTTTGATCATGTATCTGCTTTACTGCAAGCTATATATCTAGATAAGTTTCAGGTAAGTTACTCACAAGTATCATCCAGAGGCTGACAGAGCTTTCCTCTGGAGGCTGGCAGTTCATGGTGTGTCCATGAGTTTCAAGAGAGATCCCCTTCTCACTGCCTGGTCAGTTACTCACATGTTCCCCAATAGAGCTCTCTCCCTTCCAGGAAGAAGGGGCTCTTAAATAAACTTTTCTGACCACACCTTCCAGGACTAATCAGGGCAGGTGTTGTTTAAAGCTAACCAACCAATTTAAAAAGCATCACCAGTCAACTCAGAGATTGACATGTCTTGAGCCACTACCCCTTTGCCATGAGGTCACTGCTTAGGACAACAGAGAGCTCTCTCTTCTGTCAGTCACATAGGCAGAGCTGGTTGCTTAGCAACCAGAGTGAAAGACACCTGAGATTGAGGGAGGGGGACACAAACTAGCCCCAGGGCGAGGAGAAGGCTGGAAAAGGATATCATCACAGCAGCTATTTTCAAAAAGCCTTATTCTCACCTATAACAGGCACCTCTACACAAGTAGTGGGGCTGTTCCAAGACACTGCAATTACAGTGCATTGGAGCCTGCTGGCGCATGGTAATGCCCACATTCCAACAGACTCTAGCATCTCATGTATCAGTGTCCCCTTGCTGAAAAATAGTGGCTGGAGTGCTTTAACTAAAGTTCATTCAATATAGCTTTAGTTACAGCACTCACACCACCATTTTTCAGCAAGGGGATAATAATACACAAGATGCTTTGGGTGCTCTAATTAGAGCAACTCCCAGAGCTGCTTTAATTTAAGTGCCACCCCCCCAGAGCACATGTACAAATGCCCTATAAGCAGAATGAGTTGAACTACACTAATTTGCATTACCTGGACTATGTTTTACAGTGTCCATCCTATACAATCATAGAAGTAGAGCTGGAAGGGCTCTTTAGAGGTCATCTTGTTCACCCCCCTGCCTGAGGCAGGATCAACCCTATCTAAACCATCCTTTACAATCCCTGTCTAACCTCCTAGCAAAAATACACGATCTACCCAGACACCCCACAAGACATAATGCCCTAATCAGCCATAGGTAAATCAGGGGGACCATGACGGCCAATGCCCTAATGCTTCAAAGGTTAAAATACACTTGAGAGATTCCAGGAAGATGGCCAAACACCCTTACTACAAAGGAAGGCAAATGCCATACCAAACTAACCATATGGTAAAATTTCTTCCTGACTTCAAATATGATGACTGGTCTAACAATGAGCAGATGGGCAAGACCCTCTAGGCAGTAATATCTGGCCACCCTATTCAAAATCCCCTGCCTTAGCTGCAGCCAATACCCAATATTTCTAAGGCAAATGTAGCAGCAGGAAGATAAAAATATTCCTTCCTGGCCCCATGCCACAACCAGCAAAGCCCGGAAGTATGGAAAATACTCATAATAGAACACAGCCATAGCTATGCCTAGATCACCCCTTGTTGGCTACAAATGTCCAACTTGGGATCCTTGAAATTCTGGTTTATTAGGCGGATTGAAACACTGTAATGAAGTCAAATCATAAACCTTGGGGCTGGTCCCTTCACACACACACACGCACACGCACATGCACACGCACACGCACACACACAGTAGCAAGCTACGAATGTTTGTGGGGGGGAGGGGCACCAGAGTCGCGTATACCTATCCCACAAGTGCTGGAGTCCGCCGTCGATGGCCAACCAAGGCTTCTTCCAGCGTGGTGTTATCCTCCAGAAGCGGGTCGCCGGCTGGTCCTTCTGGCTGGACAGGTCAGGTGCTGGTCAAGTTGGAGATCAAGAGGGTGCCGCCGAGGGTCACTTTTCACTGCTTTTTATCTGTCCTTGGCAGACTTTGGTGACTCCCCAGTTTTCAGGTTTGCCAATCCAGGGGTCGTTGACCCTCGTGGGACTTCCCCCTCAGTGGCTACTGGATGGCATCTGTCAGCCCCAGGGGTCGTCCCCATGTACATGCAGGTTTGGGAGTCCGTTGATGACTTTTGATTAATTTACCGCTGTTATGAATAGGGCTCTGGGAGCAGTTGATCTGGAGATATTCAGCCCCAAAAGTTGGTCCCCGACATTGATTAACTCAGACCAGGGCTTCTAGGGAACTTTAGAAAATTCCCGGTTGCTACGTTGTCTCCTATTGATTTCTTCCCTTGGTTGATCTGCGGTTCCTGTAAGTGTTAATTGCCACTTGTTACTGAAGCCTGCTACTGTGTTACGCATTCAATCGCTGATTCACTCCTCTTTCAGGGGCCCACCTGATATGGGGAAGTGGCAGTTTGATTCCTGCCCTTGTTAACGTTGTTACAGTGTATAACTTACTTCTAAAACTAAAACACATTTAGTTAAAAGGTGAAGAGTATAAAACATAAGCTACAAGAGTAATGCCATGTCACGCAAATAGATAAAAATGCCAAAATACAAGGGGAGCTATAAAATACACACATACAAACTTTAAAACACAATTCCTTATCTTATAGTGAAATAAAGAGGAAGGAAGAAATAATAAGAATAATAAGAGGAGAAACATATCCAAAGAGGGGAAAGCAAATGCACGCAAGAGGAAAAGGGGGCTTTCTGCTACACCCTGATCAATGCCAGTACCGCCTCTTTTTGAACACCTCCAGTGATGGAGGTTCCATAACTTTCCTAGATGGTTTATAGAATGAAAACTAATAAAAATGAGTGTTTATATGATAATTTAGAATTGCATTCCATAAACCTGTGATTGCCTGGCACATTCTTAGAAAGCAGGCTCAGTCCTTCTTTGGGCTGCTAGTTGCTTGGGAGCATAAAGTCTCCTTTATGACAGGAAGATAGATCTGGTGCAGGTAGTTCATAGATTCATAGATGCTAGGGTCGGAATGGACGTCAAAGGATCATCGAGCCCAACCCCCTGCCAGTGGCAGAAAAAGGTACTGGGATCATGTGACCCCAGTGAGGTGCTTGTCCAGTCTCCTCTTGAAGACCCCCAGGGTAGGGGAGAGCACCACCTCCCTTGGAAGTTCCAGCTTCTGGCGACACTCACCATGAAGTTCTTTCTGATGTTCAACCTAAATCTACTCTCCATCAACTTGTGGCCATTGTTTCTGGTTATTTCAGGGGGTGCTCTGGTAAATAGAGCATCTCCTATTCTCTGCTGCCCCTCCCACCCCCCATGAATTTGTATACTGCCACAAGATCCCCCCTCAGCCTTCTGATGTCAAAACCTGCTCTATTCCTAAAGATAGAAGAATGACAGACTTTCCCTGAACAGAAGACAGGGGAGATATGCACCTTTATAGAATAAATAAGGTATAAATATAGAGTACACGCTTTCATGAACCGAACCCAAGTTCACTTCATATGAGACTGTTCGAGGACATGCAGAAAACAGAATATAGGAGGAGGAGTCATTGATGTCAGGGAAACACCCACAGGGATCCACCAAGGCCTGCACCCACATAGAGGAGCACACCTTTGTGGACTTAGAAGGTAGGGGTACAGAACTGGAATATGTATCCTGTCTACTACACAGCACAGTAATAAAATCCCATTTCATTTATTCTGTTTTATATCATGAGCATATGAAATCTATGCAATCTTGTGCACTGGGACCTATTTACTGGCCTTGCATCCTGGAAAGACCACTTCTAGGGTGGATCTCTCAGCATCAAATTGATGGCTCATTAACCAATAAATTCATGATTGCAAAAGCAGAAAACGTGTTTCCAGAAAGCAGCATTCACCATTTCCTGCACTGAGACAGTAGATCTTCCTTTGCAGCCGGGCTCAGGTGATTTCTGCATACAACTCTAGAGTATGGCCTTCTGCCTCCAAATGTTCTGCAGCATGGATATTTGGTCCTGGTTTGTAGCATGATCAGGGCTACCTCTAGGTATTGAATTCCAAGGCTAAGAAGCACCACTCCACAGCTGCTGAACAGTTTCATGCATTGTCTGCATGATCTGCATGCATTGTCTTCATCATCTTTATTCCTCCTGCTGTAAGGACAGCTGCTACAGAAGAATCACAGTACTCCACAGATCTGTGTAGCCCTCGTGTTTGGCAGTAAGATGGTAAAGATATAGGAAACAGCATGAAACAGAAGAAGAGTTTTGACATCCCTGATCTTGAAATATATGGCTCCATACTACCCAGAGATCACATGACTATTAGTACACTTACCCCACAAAACCTTTGTGAGGAAGGGAAGTATTCCACCATTTTGCAGGTGGGTGAGTTGATGCATAGAGTGACTAATCCAGGATCATACAGTCAGCCTGTAGTGAGTCTGGATATATGTTTTCCCAGTACTCAGACCAGTGACTGAACTGCTAAGCTGTCCCTCCTTTCTTCATAACTTCCTGTCCATTGAAAGTCCTATGCAGCCATGCTGGTGTGGGCAAAACAGCCTTAGACTTCTGATGAAGCAAAGTGGAAGGAAGAGCATTCT